TCTTTGTTTTAATAGTGAATTCCAACTTATACATTGTTAATAACATAATTTTATATACGTGCCTATCTTGCCCCATTACTGTTGCCCCTATACCAGGGGCAACTTTAATAAAAATAATTAAAATAATTACAACTTTACAAAAAGAGAGAAGTTGCCGATCTTGCCCCTATACCCGGGGCAACTTCGTCAATTTCTCTCTTCTTGTAAAGTTATAATTATTTTAATTATTTTTATTTCCAAACTGATTTTAACCAGTTTTATAGTAAGGTAACATTCTAGTAAACAATATGCAAAGCTTTTTTTCAGTTTACAGCAGTATTTATTACACAAAATTTAAGTAAAGCTTAACATGCCGAACTTGTCCCGGTCTCCCCTAATACGGAATTATCAACAGTGTTATAGGGGGTCTACTGTACACATAATTTAAGGGGGAAACAATATTACATGTAATAATAATAAATTAAAACATAAGAACAATAAATAAAATACGTAAATACTTTATAATAAATTGAAAATTTCCTTAATTGATTGTATATCGTTAACTTCAGCATCTTAATTATTGCGTTTTAAATGCTAATTTACGTTATGTTCATATATGTATTTAACCTTGGATTCTTAAATATGTTTCCTTCACTGCAAGGAATTAATTTTCAATCAATAAACTGAATTGAATTTTTATATTATTATTATTTCTTTTTTTTTCAACAGGAATCTGTTATAGATAAATATACAATTCCTGTAATACCGAAGGATGTATTATGTCATAAGTATAATATAAAGTAAAATATTCAATTTAAAATTAATTTCTAAACATAATTACATGAACATAATCTAAAGACAGTTAATTAATTTAAGTAGAAATATTTTGTTTAAATTTATAAAAAGTAATTTAAAAATGTTTAATCATTAAATTAATTTTTTATCTGTTTAATTACTTATAATAACACACACACACATATATATAATTTATACAGGTGTTTACAAAGGTTAACTGACTTTCGGCTATTCCGTATTTATTCATTGACACATATGAACATTAACGTTAGTATCGAATGCGTCAACGTAGATGCTGGGTGGCCTAAAAGTCAGTTAATCATTGTAAAGACGAAGCTTCGTTTTATTCATATATAAATAACTTCACTTCCCATTTCCCAGAAGTAGTGGCTACATTTAACGACATTTATCAGATTCCTTCTCGGCAGGATTCTTTCGTTTCCTACTGCAATCTTTAGCAGTTTCCTACCTTATTTTCTCACTTTCTTTAACTCATTCGAATACTTTATTAAGTACAAAGTTTATGAGGATTGGTTAGAATGAGATCGTACTTACTCAATACACCAATTACGGCACTCGTTATTTATTAGCGAATTACTGAACTCTTAGCGAAACACACGGTTAATTAACTTTTGGATCAATCTGTATAATCACGTGATATTCCTTTTAAGGTTTCTTTTTAATTTAGAAATGTATTTAACGTTTAAAAACAATTTATCATTTGTGTTCTAAAAGTAGATTTTTTCCTAGATATTACGTCTTTTCAATACTAAGAAATGATTTATCTCATTTTCTTAATAATTTATTATTTTATATCCATAAAAAGCGAACTTCCAATTACGACCACCTGTAAGTAAAGAACATTTTTACATGAACTTTTTTTAAATTTTTGTATAAATTCGTACAACATAACCTTCAAATAAAAGCCAGTTTTTATGTTCCCTATATGGTTGTTGTTTACAGGTTTAACTGTAAACAGTAATTTAATCATATAGATTTTATTGACTTTCTTAATTCTTATTTTGTATAATATTAATAAATAATAAAAAAATTCTAAATTCATGTGATATATTTATTCAATTATAATCTATCTCGCCGGATACATCATCTGTTTTTCCGGAAGAATGAATGAAGTCATACATTTTCATGGGAAAATGTAAGGATGTATGAGAAGTTCTCACTTTTAAATTTAATTACGCTGTTTTAATTTTTCGTACAGACATATATATACACATACACGTGTAATCTCATGGTAATGTGGAAGAAAATTATCTATCAATTGACATATACAGGATTAACCTTAATTTTCATCTGTAAAACAGTACAGAATTATAATTCAAGTGAGTAATCTATTTAAACACATAAGTTTATAGAAAATAGTGCTTTTTAAACTTAAACATTTTTTTTGTAGATTTTAATCATAATTTAACAAAACTTTTTCTTTTAAGCTTTAGTGAGTTTTTCTTCGAAGCATTCTCGTAATTTTACTTCACTTAATGTACTGATATAATCCTTGTAAAATATAGAAACGTAATTATTTTTAGGTTGTCCACCGATTACAGTCAAGGATGGCATTTTTAACTTAACCGAAAATAAATACCAATGCCATTATGGAAATTATTACTTATTTGGAAATAAAACGTTAATATGCCAAGAGGATGGAAATTGGAAAGGTGAAGTGCCGTATTGTGGTGAGTTGTTTACGTCAATAAAACGATAACAAAATGTACCAATCATATAAATTTTCACATTAATTTAATATAAATAATCATATAAACGCTATATAATTAAAATGATCTTGTTTTATTAATATGCACAATCAAATACCTCTGTATTTATTACGTACAGTACAGTACATATGTCATTTTTTCACTTCAAGAAACATTTTTATACTCATATATTCGTGTAGTCTCGAATCCTTTTGCTTCTCTACTTTAATTTCCTTTATGGACTGAAAATGTTTACGTCTTGAATTTTACATGGAATAGTCGAAGTGTTGGCCTACTCCGAATACCTGAGCGAATGTAATCAGTCGATATACTACTTTCTTTAATCCTTGGTATTTCCAATATTTATCCTTATAATATGTAATTTACTTTAATACAGCTAACTCAATTTATGCGGAGATACGGAAAGATGGTCATAATATAACGAAAAGTTTAAACGAAAATAAATGTATAGCAGCCGGTACGAATGGACCTTGGGAGATTAAATTATTCGAAAAATCTTTTTCCGCTATTACAATAGTGTTTAAAGGTAAATTTTTTTAAATATGTTTTTTGTAATCATTTTATTAATAATAATAATGTATTCCAGCACACACAAGCAATATAGGATGTCCTATCGTGTTTCTATTTGTTAACAACAATAGACATGAAGAACGACATAAGACTAGTTGTGATAGTAGTAAGTAAGACTATTTTTTTCTCTCTTGTTTTCGAGGATATTGTTTGTTTATTTGTCCATTTCCGAAATCAACGGACTGCATAAACTAGCATCTTTACGATATGGCAATTGGTCGCAGATTTGCGCATCACTAACGGAGTTTTCTGGGTTTTATTCATGTGTCTAACTTTTAAAAAAAGGGTCAGTTTTACATAGAAAATCTTCCCGAGAGGTACCTCAATCGATTTGAAAATGCCATGTTTAAATCATCTGACAACTAAGACATACTCGTAAGTTACAGTTTAACCTCAATTCAACAATAAACTACTATTAGGGATGAGGATATCCTTCTTACCGTGGTTTTAAGGATCTTTAAATAATGTTAATAAATACAAAAAATTATAAGAGAAACTATAAATTAGTATGCAAATAATAAAGTTACTAAGTATACAAGATTTAAAACATAACAATGAATGTAAAATAAATCTTAAAATGCTGTTTGGAGGATATACTGCCGTGATCGTATAGTGATTCCCAAAATGTTTTGAGCCATCTCAGTGCCACAAACTTATGTCTAACGCCTCTAACCGCACCCCAACGTTCTCAACCCATTTTTCATTTGTGAGAAAGACTTGGAAATATTAATTTTCAGATGTAGTGTTGTTGTTATTTGAAGTGTAACAAACATAAGCGCATGAGGAAATGTCCACAGCATTAACAATTAAAAAACGCTGCGAATGTGTTACCCTAACAGTAACGTACGAAGCTTATTCACTTCTGTTGACAGAGTTTGTAACCACGAGCGAAAATATCTGAAAATAAATATGCAGAAATAAAAATTGTATTGGAGATAATATTTTATCTAGAGGTACTGTACATCTATATTTAGTATATTCAGCAGACACGATACTGCTTTGTATTCAGCCCTATATGACACTTTACTGAATTAAAATCTGCAATCATAATTTGAATTGATGTTCTCTTTGTTAAGTAGTGTATCTGGAGCTTCAACTGAAGTGTTGATATAAAGTGAATACAGTATATATTTTTCCTCGGTAAAATTCTGGTTCCGAGAGTTTGAAAAAATGAAGTCTGTACATTATATGTAAGGCGATTTTTCACAAATTGCTTTTAACATATACTAATCGTCTATAATCAAGTCTCAAAAAATAAATTTTAAAATGTTTTAATAACTATATGCTTAAATTTAATGACATTTTATTAAACTTCAATTAAATACAAAATGATAACAATTGAATTATTTATATTCTATGCTGTCTGGAAATATTTAGCAATTCAAATACAATTAAGTTTGTTACTTGGATACTTCTTGTTTGTTTGTTTGCTCATATACAGCAACTCAATTTGCAGGCTTAAGAGAGGAATGCTTCTTGGAAGTACTATGGAAAACCGACTCCTATTTAGGTGTTACAAACGTGTAGAAAATCCAAAAAACTCCACATGGTCAACTGATTGATGAAGCCGAACCTAAGACAACTACTAGAATTCGGTGGTATTATCCACTCATTTACTGATATGCTTGCTTTTTTTGTTTTCTCAAACAAATTTATGCTTAATTTCAGCAATGAAATTTGTAATGGTGCATGCGGAAAACATTTTTATAAAAAAACTAAGATACTTTTAGCGCTGCAAACAATGAAAATGGAGCTCCTTGATCTTACTCCATGATAGCTTTTTCTTTTGAAGATGATTGAAACATGTTTATAAAAGACATGTTGCAAATTTGGCAGTCTTGAAAGACCATCTATCACATTGCCTGTAAGAAGAATCAGAGGTCAGCCAGCAAACACACTATCCATCTTCTTCAAGTTTTTGACGTTCAAATTGGGGATCACATCAAGCAGTATGCAAAAAAAGGCATAACGAGTCAACGCTAAAAGAAGTGATTTATAATAGTTTTATTAAAAAAAAATTGAATACCATCTGAATGATAATATAAAACACAGGATGGAGAAAACGACACTGCTAAGTGCTGATATCTATGAGCTGTTTACTTAATTACAATCGAATTTAAAATAGGTAAGGATATATCAATACCTTAAGCGTTTCGTGTAATTTTGAAGGTAACGATATAGAGACATCCTGAGTGTTAAAGTGAATATTCTGTTCAGTAATTCTCTAATTTGAGTGTAGCAATCTCGCTGCCAGGTAGAAAGGTCTCCTTTCTTCCTGACCAGCTGTTGACTGCTGAAGATGAGATTTATTCAACAAAAAATAGTCATTAACCGTTTATGCCAAAAGAATAGTTTATGAAAAGCCTCATTGCATTTGCTCAAGTCGTAATTTCTAATTTTGCTGAAAACTTATATCTATCTATTTAACCTTTGAACCTACTGTGAATTCTAGGACCCTAGGGATTAGAAAATCATTGGTCAATATTTTCATCGCTGGAAATCTTGAATTAATCGCCCACCGATGGTCGAATGGATAAAACCTGTGAATGCTGGTAGGTAGAATACCATGGTCAGCTACCCATATGGAGTATTCCGAGTTTTCTCCAAATGTCTAACATCTAAACAGAGAACAGTTTCTGATAGAAAGTCCTCTTGGTAGGCAGATATTAAACAATATTTTAATATACAGACAGCTTAATATATTAATATAACATTGCTTCGTTGTTTGAACTTTGTAATAAATTAAAATTAAATTAAAATATAATTTATCTCTTAAAATTTTAACTAACAAAATACTGTACTTGTATATTCTTTAATTGATATACAAATCTTTAATTGTATATTTTATTGACAAAAAAATTACGCACCAAGAAGGAAACTTTGTTAGTGCGAACCTAATGACGATGGTGAAAAGTGATTACATTATCATAGTAAAAGAACAATTTCCTGTTAAACAAGGATACAATTTAAAAGATCCTTTCTTACTTTGTAGGACCAGCCCAGCAGTGGTCGATTCGATAAAATCACTGACTCCAACCAACCAACCAACAAAACTCACAGCTTTGTTGGTTGTGGGTTGGCCTTGCCAATGGGCTGGCCACTTGAAGTTTCCCGGGCTTCATCACTTTAATAATACCTAAATAGAGGCCAGTTTCTCATAAAAGGTCTCTTAAGAGCCATCCCCTTGACAAATCACCCATGGGAAAAGTTGCTGTTTACGAATAAACTAAATCTTGTAGGACCTCTTCCCTGCATGCACGCGGAAATGCAATCTGGAGACATAAGCACTGTTTGCTATTCTACGATAGCTTCTTCCACAGTAATTGCAACCGGCACTTCAGATCTATCACATTTGTAGATAATCAAAGTCAGCATCCATCATGTTTCTTGCACTATTAGTAGAAGTGATTAACTATCATACGAGATGACTCCCCAGCATACCGAGAGTAGAGACAGTGTGTGATTTAACTTTAAAGACAGAATTGAAGCGTTCACCAGAGATCTTTCACTCTTCAACGTGGCAGTTGTCTGTTCCCAAATAGAAGCAAGATTTGTGCATAGCCAAAAAGCTTAGGTGGCATCCTGCTGCACTGGAAAACCCAAAAACGAATCCGATCGTAAAACCCCTGGAATTTTATCCTGGCTTTCTCAAAATTATAACGCAGAATTTATCAAATCCTGTCAGTGTGCATAAAGTCTTTGAGTGCATTGTACAGGTATGCTTGATGTTTGAAGATCTCCTAACAACAGGTATACTGAAAATTATGAACACAATGAACCTGTGTAAGTTTTTTGTAGGATAATAGAAGAGTGATTTTAAGACGCTTTGGTGGGATTACTAGCGCGCAATAAGACTACAACTATAAACACGCGTATACCTAAATATCGCATAGCTGTACGCCAAGTTTGCAGTAATCAAACAAGTATATCTAGGTCAATAGCTACTTTTATCAATGGATCTATTTTATAGTAATATTTCCATGTTGTGTAGTATTATGAAGATATATACAGTATAATTGATGTAATAATAAATTTTTCGATTATAATTGAAATTTATTTGACATTTCAATTATTTCAGTGGTTACACAATTTACATACGAATTTAAAAACGACATGACAGGAAATATTAAATTTTACCTAAGTCAACATTCGTGGCACAAATTTCAAGTATGTGGAATCCATATTTATTCAAAGTCAAGTAAGTGTTTTTTCATATTTAATTAAAATTATTCGACTGTTTTTCTTTTCTTTCGTTCGTGTTGAACAGGAAATCTTTAGTAAGAAATATTATATAAAACCAACTGATTTTCATGCTTCATCTATGATATATATATAAAATTGCTTGTCCTGACTGACTGACTCACTCACTCACTGATTCATCATCGCCCAGAGCAAACCGCTGAACCTAAAGAGGTGAAATTTGGTACACAGTTAGGGTACGTCATGAAAACGCACACTAAGAAGGAATCTTTCAAAATTCCTCCGCGGGGGGAGAAGATTAAGGCTTAACCGGAAAAACAACTTCTACTGTACTGTTTTAGATGCGATTTTTTGTTTTTAATTGCGTTTTAGTAGGGTATGCCATGGGAATGCACACTAAGTAGGGATTTTTCGAAATTCGCCAGCGGGGGTCGAGGGATAACAATAAGGCTTAACCTGAAGAACGACTTTTGAAATTGATTCCATAGTTTCTTTTTAATTGATAACATTTCAGACATTGTTATAAATATTTTCATATATTTCGATTTTTTAACCAAATGTTCGAATCTTCTTAAATTCGAATTTGTTATTGCATATTGGTTCGATTATAAAACAATTGTAAACGTTCCAGAAAATTGATCAAATTGAAAATATTGATAGTTCGTTTGATTCGCAGCAATTCTCATCATTCTCGCGATAGGTGTTATATAACAATTACTATGGTTGATGAAATACTGAATATAAATGGAATTTGCTTGCAAAACCTCCGCGGGCGAAGTCGCGGGTAACAGCTAGTCTCGTATAAAAGAAGCAACAACATAAAATGGAATTATATCATTGGTTACTTTCTAGACATTTTTAATTAATTGCTTAGGCAGTTGTTTGGAAAGTGGAACCCCCACAGCCTGAGCCAAATGTACTGTTGCCATTGTTGTAGAATTCGCCACCCACGTGTTTGCTCTGTGTGGATACCTGTAAGCTGAAAAAAGAAGGTTTTGGCAACATAACGTCCCCAACACACTACCTTGGTCCTGTTACAGATAAATGTGTGGCTCGAACCCGGCTTCATTCGAGTTAATCGGCTGGTTGTTGAGTCTTTGGGACCTCAGCTTGGAGTCAACTGATCGGTGTAGTCCAGACAGATTAGTCTTCTGTGTTGTTACATTGTGAGGGTATAGGTCCTGGGATACCCTGGTGCATCAGTAGGTACTGCTTATGCACACTGTACAGCATCCCCTTGTTGGGCTCGGTGCTGGATGGGACCAACGGGAGCTGAAATTTATTCCTTTAATCATGAATTGTTGACTACTAATACTGATCTTCTGGGACCTACAATGCCATGTTTCTTGATTTTGCACTGAAATTCCGAACTTATATTGGGGACTATCTCCTTTTCTAATACAAAACTTGATAATCTGCCAATGACAACTACTTGTAGAAACTGCATCGATAAAGCAATCTGAGAAATTCCTGAAACGAAGACGTTAGGCGATATCCCAATTACTGTTTCTCCACACGCCATCCTCGACTTTTCTCACGATATTAGGAAAACGATCCTCTCTCCGAGTCAGAGTCAACTTTCATTCTTGACGAACTGTCTGTTCAAAACTAACTATTTCACCTTGTAGAATCCAATTAATAGAAAAGTCCTGAGGTAGTTCGTTCGGATAAAGAAGGTCTATACATTTTCACTTTCGTAGTCCTTGTTTGCTTGTCCTCTTCCCTCTCTTCCGGTGAATCGCACAACAAAAAAAGAAGACAAGAAAACAAAGAGGGACACCGTAAGTGCCCTTCAACGAAAGGTAAGCGTGGCTCCCCTACCGTGGACAAACCGTTAGAAAAAAAATAATTAGAATGGTGTTGTAACACTACAACTGCCTCATGAATCCCTGACATGACATGAAACATGTCTAATAGCTCAAAATGATTCAAAGCCAAAACAGAAAATTGCACCAAAACTATCAAACAGTGCAAGACAAACGCATCCAGCTCTCCAAAACAACAACAAATGGCACTGGCCGAAAATCTCAAGGCGGAAAAGTAATCTCCAGAAATACAAAGTATACCTCAGTATCCATGAATGAATTTTTAGACTGCTCTGAAGCTGGAGAAGTCAAGTCCCAGTATCCCCTCCACTTCAGAGCAAAATAAAGATAAGAAGGAATGTGGAAGAAGCTAACACATTAACCTCCTCAGCAGCCGTCATTGAGTCAAATACAGTAATAATCTTGTAGTTATCTCTTGTGCCTTGTTAAACAAATTTTAGTATTTGTGGTTTTTATCATCGTTATTTCATTATTTAATCATCGATAATAACATCGCACAATGTTTCAAGAATGAGAAACAAAGTAACATTTCACTCCAAACCAACAGTGTCGTTTGATTTTAAAATTCTTAAAATAGAAGTCAAGAAAACTTCAAATAATCTCCAAAGAAATTTTTCATAAATTTTCAATATACTAGCCTTTAAAAAGCTATACACTTGCTTAAAAATTTCAAATTTATATTAAAATCTCTATAAATATAGATTAAAAAGTGTGTTGTTTTAAATTTATATAAATGGGATTTTTGTATATTTTAATAACGGGATTTACGTTTATCGAATTAACTATAATTATTTTTTAACATACATAAAGTTAAAATTGATACATGTATTATTTTAATCAATAGAAGTAAAATGTCCCATTGCACCAATAAATCTACCAAATGGATATATTTCTCCTTCAAATGTTAACTCGTTAAACTATGGAGAACACGTGTCATTTAACTGCAATGAGGGTTTTCAATTGAATGGGCATCGATATCTTTATTGTGGAGTGACAAATATATCCACTCAAATACCTCAATGTCAACGTAAGTAAACCATTGGTCAGTTTTTGTGTGAAATTTTATTTCATTTTTAATTATCTTTATTAAATTTTTATGAAGGGATCCAATGCAAAAATTCTCCGATGAAAATATTAAATGGTATGTGGGAAAATTGGAATCAAAGTAAAAATTACTCGCATGAGGACGAAATTCATCTTATTTGCAATCCTGGTTATAAACTAAATGCCACAGGAAGTATTAAATGTCTTAAGAATGGAAATTGGTCGCATACTCATTCAGCTTGTCTAGGTATACGATACAACGAATCTATATTATTATTTAAAATTAAAAATGGCATTTATGAAAATATTTTTTTAAAAATTTTTTCAGAATGGAAATTTCCGCTATATTTAGGTATGTAAATAATAAATTAATCAAATGTTAATTATCAGATTAAATAGAATATTTTGATTAGTTTTTACAGTTGTGATTGCTGTCATAACTTTGCTAATTGTATTGCTGATCGGATTGTTCGTCATATTTAAAAACAGGTTAGAAAGTTTTTTTTAAATATAATTAAAATAATTTTGTATAATTTACTTAGTTATATTTAAATATTGAGAATTTTTTCATTTTATATTTGTGTCAACACAGACTATTATGGAAATAATACAAAAAAGAACCTTACTTGTTAATTGTTACTGATTATCTTCGTTAATTTAGTAGTGTGTGTAGTTTAAATTCTTGTCTTTTATTGTAGAAATTTGTTAATTTAATACACGGTAGTCGAGAATTCTCCTATGATAATCTGGAATGCTAGTATTTTGCGAATCAAAATTTGTTTGAACACATGATGCGTTAAAGTCCCGAATACGTGAGATTCAAAACAGGATAAGTCATCATACTGAGAAAATGCAAGTAATGTCGGATTCATTTTATTTTTTTGTGAGCTATAAAACAATTTATTAACACGTGTAAAGTTATCAGGAAGTGAAGATTGTCATTTTCGTTTAGTTGCAAAACGTTATGCCCTTGACCTTAAAACATTTTTAAAGTTTCAAACCATCATCATATATTCCAGTGCAATAAATATTTTATTTATAGCAGTTGGTCATTGTATTCTGAATTCACAACTTGAAAGATACTGTGCCAAATTTTATGTATATCTTGAAGACATCGAAAAGAAACGGTCAATTCAGATGTGCATTTTTCTTTTCGACTACATTAAAGACAATGTTCCACCCGAGGTAAACGAGCTGCACCTTCTGAAATAGGAATTTCGGAATAATTGAAGGACAAATAAAAAAGGCTAATCGAATTTATATTCTGAAAGAATGTGTGCAGATGATATAGGTTGCAAGGAAAGCAAATCATTGTGTAATAAGAAGAGTGGAAAAGTAGCTTTATAAGTAAATGCATGATGGCCGAAATTTTTTAAGAAGAAAAAAAATTGTGTTGCCATCGAGTTGTGGGGAAAGGCACCAAGAAGTGCCACTTTTCTATCCCTCATTACAAAATGCTTGCGAGTTTCTTTGATCACAGAGGTCACAGAGATCACAGAATGTTATATGGGAATTTATACACAGCATTTCCTTCAATTTTTTAAGGCACAGAAGAATCCCAATTTACTTGCAACTCCTGTTTACCAAGATAAGCTCAGTATCAAAACGGAAAATAAATGAAAAGAAACATTTTGAAAGTAGTGTGTCTTGTAGATTCTGCGCGTATAGAGTTCTATGGCACCATTGTAAGCCAGAAGACAATTGAATGGGACAATAAAAGTGAAGAGGAAGACAACAGAGCCGATTAATTTTTTCTTTGTTTCATGTCCGTGGATTAATAAAATCTTAAAAATGTCCAGTATCAGTGTCTATGGAATTAGATTCATTTCAAAATGGGATATGTCAATGACTTTCCCTCACGCTGTATATATAAATTGGTTAATCTCAAAAATATTCAATTAGTAAGTACTCTGAAGACAAGCAATAATGATTTATCAATAGCTTGAATTTATTTAAAATTGTCGAAGACAAAGAATTTTTCTTTTTCTCAAACATTGTTACGTGGATTTATTCTCTTTTGAATTTACGCATTCAATTATTATATGTACAGTAGGTGGATCATTATGAAAGTCGATATTCTGCTGGGTTTTTCAATCAATTTTAATACAGTATATGTACTGTATATACTGTATTACATCAAAAGGAATAATTTCACATTATACACCATACGAAGAAATTATTTAATTAAAAGTTCTTTCACTTTATGGCAAGAAAAGCTCCTTCAGTTAAATTTCGAAAATATTGATACAACGAATTTGAACGATTGCATTCCGATGATGATTTAAATTTTAAATCAAAGTAAAATATACAAATTGTGTATTATTAATGATTCTTTTTCTTTTACAAAACGTTCGAGAAAATTGTGCTTGCAGCAGACAAGGAATGATATATTTCCATACAGTTGCAAGTTTTAATGTGAAAATGTTGCGTGTATTGTTAGTCATATTATATTGATGGCTTCTGCCAGGAATAATATTTTCTGGTTTCTTGAGCTAAATAACAGCCTTATCTTGTCCCGCTTTGTTTATACAGTAGAGCCTCAGTTATCCGACCCCCGATTAACCGCCACCTCGGTTAACCGACCGTCCTAGTCGGCAAATTTCAAATGTCCGCTAGTGATGTGGCGCTACAATATTTGGCTATGACTCGGCTACTTTAATATTATTTTTACGTGTTTTAGCTGGCAACACTCATTCGACCATGAAACGGAACCAGTATTTAAACGAGGCTTAATTTTCTAATTTTTAACGATACAATAGCGACGATTATTGTTTTAAAAAATTTTTGTTAGGCTTCACATCGATGAAAATTCAACGCGAAGTAGGTTAATAGCGATATACTAATATACTAAATAATATACTATACTAATAATGGATTTTTTCATACTTTTCGGTTATCCGACTTTTCAATTATCCGACCAATTCCAGTCCCCAATTAGGTCGGATAATCGAGGCTCTACTGTAATTGTCTTCTGAGGCTAGAATGGCTAGTTGTTGTTCTCCTGCATTTGATGTTAAACATTTTGTAAAAGAAAAAGACATGTTAATTTAAATTTTAAATAAAAATAAACGAATTTTGTAATGTTATTGACATGTGTGTGACCAGGCGGCGCTGTGTTTAGGCGTGCTGAAAAATACAGATCTCTTTCCTTAGTACACTCTGGTAGTGTGTTAACAAGAAGCATACAATAGCTTATCCTAGTACAAAATGTACAGCAGTGTTTGCAACTCTCGTATCCCATATAACTTTTGGAGTTTTTCAAAAATACAAGAACGTTCGATAATCTAAATTTTTGATAATCCAGCAGCACTGGTCCCGTAGATACCGGATGTAACGAATTTCTATTGTATTTTCAGGTCCACCAGTAGCCGAGTGGATAAAACCATCGAATAATGATAGTTTGTCCGTGGTTTGCAATTCACTAATGGACTAAACGCGTGAAGTTTTACGAGTTATCTTTGCTTAATATAATCGCGTGCTTAAATAGGGGCCAGTTTCCCTAGAAAATCCTCCCGAAAGACACCCTCTTTCAGATCGTCCATGTGTTGCGTTGCTTTATTCCATCAACTCAATCCAATCAACTGAATTAAAAAGGGAAAATTTTTCTCAAAATGAATATAGATCTTAATGCCGAAAAATATGTATGGGCAACGATATTACAATTTATATTTTCATTTTCCATTATCGTTAGTATCCCATTTTATATAAGCACTTTTCGTTTAAGCGTTCTGCGGAGACTAAGAGGACGTTATTCATACTCATCATAGGTTCGGCCAAGTCCCGAACAGGGTTGGTCAGATAGTGAGTATTAAAGCTTGATATATCCGGGATAGATCGCGCATAAAAAATTTGTGGTATTTGTTTGTCCAGGTCCGAGCAGATGCGAATTTTGTGGGTGTGCGGGAGCAGCTTCATCCCCGCTCTGGAAAGTTTTCCCGGTAAAGCCGGGTACGTCAGGTAGTAAACAATTTTTAAAGCATATTATTTCTAATCTATTCTTTCTGCAACTCCCTCTAAACATTTCTAGATCCTCTATTGTTCCCAAATACCTCAAAACGGTAGTCTGAAGCTTATCCGGCTCGGTCATCAGGCCGAGAATTTAAGCACTATGCAAATTAGTGTAGAATTTACAAAATCAAATTTATCCTGAGTTATTTTTCTAGATAAAATGTCCCGAATCCCTTTCTTGAACTATTAAATAAGTTGAGAATTGTTAGACATCAAAGCAAGAATAATAAGTTAGTAAAATCTGCAATATTAAGTTCATTGTTTATATCAAATCAGTAGTTTTTAATTTCAATTTATATAATTTAATTAAATAATTACAATTATTAAATATTTTAAATAAAATCATCCAGGAAAAGACGAAGCTCATCAGATGAAGACACTAAACCAGAACATATATACAGCGAAATTAATGAAATGTATGAAGGTGGAGAAAAAGAAGAACCGCCTCCACTTCCAAAACCAATGACAAATCGGAAAATAGATCGACTTCAATCATTGACATACATCGATTATAATAATCAATTCGATCATGGATCGATCGATACAGAACAGAATGTTAACAGAAATATAACAGAAGATACTACTTTAAGAATAGATGATGATGCAAAAAATGTAAATAATCAATTATATGGTTCCGATTAAAATAATCTTCTAAATAGAAGTTTAAAAATTGTTCATTAATTATTACATATGTAATACAATGCGGTACATAAAAATATCAACTATATTATGTTTAATTATAACCTGGACTGAATGGGAAACCCATGATCGGTTCAGGGAAGCAACCCCAAGAATTTTTCATGAATACCTCGAGTTCCGTCCGTTGCTACTCGATTGCTCCCATTGTGGAGCTGTCGTAAGCCACAATGAAGGTAGAAAAAGGACCTCTTAGTGACAAAGGGCAGAAGAGTTAAATACGAAAATAAATACATAGCTTTAAATCTTAAAATAATAACGATTCTTTAATATTTTTAACAAGAAATAATAATCATAAGTTAGAATAAAACATAAATTATACATTTACATAAGTATGAGGGAGTTTTTTAATATTTATCACATTATGAGATAAATTATTACTAGTACATCCTTCATTCGAATTACTAAAATTTTCCTTGAAATTATAATAAATATGCTGTTTAATACAATATTTATTTGTCATGTTTTCACAATTATCTCCTGTGATATTGTTTACAGTTGTATTTGATCTCTCTTTATCCGAATTCTCCTGATCCGAATTTTTTCGAGATTTTTTACTAGCACGCATTTTTTTACGTGTCCAAGCCTGTGCTGCTGAGAACTGATGGAACGATTGAAGACCTCTTCTACTTTCTACTAGTTCTTTATATATCCTCTCGACAAGTTCCGATGACGATTTTTGCCGACGTTCTTGTTGATTTCTTGTCCATCTCGGTATTCTTTCTTTGCATTTGCTTCTTCATAGAAAGTAAAAATAAGTTTGTAAATTATATAATTTAAGTGATATAATTATTTAATTGAAATCCAAAAGAACAAAATGTGATTTTTTTTAATTTAGACTGTTTTTAATTAGTAAAGTATTTGCGTGGCTTTGGTTTAGCTTAACGTAAATAGAAATTTAGAAAATGGGATAATGAATAAGATTTGTTTAAAGTACTGTATGAACGCTCTTACACGTGAAAATCGCTTGTATTCATGTTTTGCTTCACTTATAAGAGGTATATTTTTTCGCTCTGTGAGCACTAAGACGGTTTTTTTTTTTTTTGTTTTTTAATCAAGCTCATTGTAGGTCATATGACAGCAAGGCTTTCCTCAACCAAAGTACTCTCGCTTGCTACAACAAGGGAGTGAGTATTTTGATCAGAAATTTTCTGAAAATGAGGAGTCGTTTCATTGTGCATGGACCGCTTGGTTGTTTTAGATACTAAAGGAACTTCTAATTATTAAGGGAAAAGATTTTTCTCTCAAATTCTCCAATAACGCTCAAGATAATTCTCCTGTTTGGCAAAATATAAGGTTAAAATTTATTGCATCGACAAGAATAGGGCTGACTTTTACATATCTCTTTCAAGACACAAAAATAAAATAGATTCTAACTCCTTTCTCGTGGGTATTATAAGTGCTCATTAGAATTTTTTTAATAGTTTTTACGTGTAGAATATGCATACGCATTTATTGCTAACAGTTGCTATTTACCCTGTATAGACTTTCTCAACCAAGGATTGATTGTGTTGTTCTAAATTTCTTGATTGATTTCTAATTTGAAAAGCAGTTTCAAAATATAGATGTATTTTGAAACTTTAAATGCCAAAGAATGATTATATGCAATAAAAATTATTATAAATTTGGGTAATTAATTAATACAAATTACCTATTGCACTGCTTATATTCTAGATTTGACAAAATTAAATTTATTACAAAATCTACAGTATTCTCTAACACAGGTATCGTACAATATTTAATACATAAAGTCTAGGGACACTACACAGATATACATGTACTGTGAATATACAACAGTATACAAACATAGTAACTATGAAACACTTGGCATGCAGAAACAAAATTAAGAGTTCTGCAAAGAACATGACTTCACATCTGTATTATATTTGCATTATTATTATGGTGCAATTTTTATTTTCTTAACTTAATAAGACCGTTTATCATCATCATCATTCATAAAATTCATCACCAAAATATGGTAAAATTTAAATAAAATTAAATCTTACCTTCTTTTCCTGTGAAGTATTATAACTGTTATCATTAATATAATGACGACAATGACACCGCTAGCAATACATACAAATATAATAGCTGAAAAATTAATAAGTTTTAAAATATTAACAAAGTAAATTATATCATTTTTAATTTGACAATAATAATATATTTTTTCTTACCCACATATGATATTTCATTGTCAACAGCTGAAAAACAGAAAAAAAATTATTTCAATATGTTACAATGGTAAATCATTTGTACGCCTCTGAAGAGACAGGATCAAAAAATATTTACTGTAATCGAAATTTAAGTCAGGATGCACTAAAATTTCAACACTCAAATGCCAGAGGTAATGGATGATATACTGTTTTCTACAGATTTTCTTTTTAATTTTAGAATTAAAAAAGAATGAATTTAGACTTATAAACGAAACTTTTCACCATGGAGAGGAATAGGTGTTGCCTAACAGAAAATCAACATACGTGAGAGCTCCTTCCTCTGTTGCAACGTCTAATAGAAAGCCGTATCCTCAATTTATAATTTATTTTGTTTATAGTTAAAATATTATAATTATCAATGTCGTACAGTAAATATCACTATTAGTTTACTGGTACTTTACGATCGACTATGCAGTCATATTACTTTGTCAACTTTATGAATGTATTCTAGGTCTCAGTTGCTTGTTCGAGGTTAAGTTACAAGTTAGCCTATGCTTACTTACGATATGTGTTTATATGTATCACTTTTTCAATAGAAGTGAAAAATATTGACCATTAATGGGTCAAGTGGGAATATATAGGTCTACAACTTTTTCAAATTGTAGCAAAAAGAATTAAACATTTATGGTAGGTTTAGGCCTGTTATTTAACTAAGTATTTAATATTTAACTGAATAATTTCATACCTCTACAATAAATACGATCAGGAAACCAGGTTCCATTTCCCGAACAATTAACCCTGGTATCTTTCAACGAATATCCCATTTTGCAAATGACATGAATTATTGTTCCCACAGAAACGTTGTCATCGTACTTGGACGATACTTCATATTCTCCATTTTCCACCGGAGGAAGATTCATGCTGCAACTTACATTTTCTGCATTTACTGTAAATAAATACATTGAAGATTATGCATTTTTATATAGGGGAGATCGGGGCAAGATCGGCATGTTAAGCTTTACTTAAATTTTGTGTAATAAATACTGCTGTAAACTGAAAAAAAAGCTTTGCATATTGTCTATTGGAATGTTACCTTACTATAGAACTGGTTAAAATCAGTTTGGAAATAAAAATAATTAAAATAATTACAACTTTACAAGAAGAGAGAAATTGACGAAGTTGCCCCGGGTATAGGGGCAAGATCGGCAACTTCTCTCTTTTTGTAAAGTTGTAATTATTTTAATTATTTTTATTAAAGTTGCCCCTGGTATAGGGGCAACAGTAATGGGGCAAGATAGGCACGTATATAAAATTATGTTATTAACAATGTATAAGTTGGAATTCACTATTAAAACAAAGAAATACAAATCCAACACCCATTTAATATTATTACAACGAAATGCAAGTTCAAAGACATATATACATGAATAACAAATGCAAACATGTTTTCATTTATCATCTGTTTGATTTTTATCCTTTGCTTCTAATGTGGCTTTATGTTGCCGATCTTACCCCGCTAGTCATGATTTCGAAACATTAAGTACAACCCTGAGAACAGAATGCCAAGCCACGATCTGGCCACGTGAATAAGTTGAAGTTACATCCTTCTAACAGGAAAAGTAACTTTCGTTATCATGGAATTATAACAAAACCTGCCAATTCAATATAAATGGAAAAAAAATATTATATGGAATTGAACGAAAATGAAAATTTGCTTGATAATTCAACTACGCTTGTTGGAGAACAATAAAAACACTACACTCAACAAGCCACCAATAAAACTCAACTGCCTAACCTATAACCAAAGTCTCCTTTTAATTTGTTTTTTTAAAAAAAGCGCTTGACAAACTTGCCCCGCATGCCGAAGTTGCCCCGATCTCCCCGATATATTTATGCGTATACCAAAATTATAAAAATTTTCACGGAATTGGATTACTTTCATTCGATCGGATACGGCAAAGTAACTTTAGGGAAATCTGGTAAGGAGAGGTGCCTCCTGGGAATTTCTATGGTAAAGAGGCCCTATTTTTGTGTTAGACACGTAAAGAAACTCCGGAAAAACACTATGCGGCCAGCATGTTGGTGAGCGTACGAACCAATAGCAATTACGAATGTAGAAAAAGATTAAGTGGAAAGAAAAACGATAAAATTCATTAGGCACGAGAGTGGAACTTTAGTTTTTTCTGGTGTAAATCTTATATGATTCAATTGAATTTTAGATGGAAAAGTTATTTAAATACAACTCAAAAACTTAGAATTTGCAAATTATTTTGGTGTCCCCAACATTAAACAGTAGGCCTAGTAGGAACACCACTATTCCTTGCAGAAATCTACGATGTAAAATATCTTGTAATGAAAGATAAAAATTCTTGAGAAATCGCAAAAAATCTTGAATATATTGTATACATAAGACAAATGTAAATTCTATGTTCAGTGTTCGAATTTTCACAACTCATCAATCAATTTTCAAAGATTTTTAATAATGATAAGTTACATTTAATTAAAAGAAGCAAAATTGAAAATAATTATAAAACCCCTAAACTGGTAATTAGGTCGTGGGTTCGGGCCTCGCCATGTAGAGTTTTCTGGATTTTCTCCACGTCTCTGACAGCTAAATAGAGAACAGTTACCCATAAAAGACTTCCCGAAAGTCATTTACCACCCGGCTCTTTGCGAGTAATTTCGTATGGTCAAGCAAAAAGCTTCGGCCGGCTCTTCGGAGGATAAGCGACTATGCAATAGCCTAAATTTTAACAGAATACAAGACAGCTAGAGGTAATTATAAAATTAACAGACTGAAATGTATCATTCTTTATATTTCATATATCTTGTATAACTGATTTGGCCGGACGACGCAGTCAGTTGCATTCACCTACCGTTCTGGGGATTCCAAGATCAAATTCGGACGAGCAATTTCCAGAAATTTTTCATAAGTGGTTTCTTAGATATGTGGACCTATCCCTCACCAACCTGTCGCCCTATTGTGGACCTGACTTATGATTGAATAGGCCGTTTGGTGCAGAAAAATCACGAAAAAGTGATTTTTTCTGACGATTAAGGTTCTACTTAATTATTCTACTTAAAAGATAAAATAATAATAATAACTAAAGCGTTAAAATTGATATGAATTCATTTAAAATATTTGCTTCTAGTCCAGTGGTTCCCAACTTTTTTTGACTTGCGCCTTTAGCAGACCATTTTCCTAAGTTTTATTTCCCATTTTCGCTGTTTTATTTCGCATGTTAGTCAAATGGTGGAGCCTTGGTCAATTATACAACCTATACAATTACATAAAAAAAATCACATTTTTAAAGGCCAAAGTCGAAAAGCGTTGGAGCAGTGGCGGCCTTAGGGGGTGGCGAGCAGGGCAATGGCCCGGGGCCTCGCTCTTGGAGGGGCCTCGAGCAACAACCAAGTAGAAAAAAGTTGATATTTAAAACTTTTTATTTTATCCTTGGCTATTAGGTTATAACAATAAAATAAATTTAATTTATAACACAGTATATATTAATATTAATAAGTGCCTACTATTTCAATTCACATACTTTGCACAAAGGACAAGGGCCTCGCAAAGATCTGCCGCCCAGGACCTCGCAATGGATAAGGCCGCCGCTGCGTTGGAGGATGGACACAGATAAATAAATATATATATATATATATATATATACCGCCATTATTAATTTTTCTCGCGAAACCCCCAGACCACCAAGAGCGAACCCCTATGGTACGAGTACCCCCGGATGGAAATCTCTGTTCTAGTCCATGACATTGATATTCAACTTGTACTTAAAAGGTCATCTTGATAATTTAAAGCATTAGTAATTTATCTTAATAATTTTAGCTTAACACAGCATCAAATAATCTTACAATTATGAAATAACACGTCTCAAATAACGTTGAAAGTATCACTAGGAATGATAAAATATTGCTTATTAATAAATATTTTGTAACATTTAGCATTTATTACCAATAATTAACCTTGAAACCGCACTAATTAAAACTAAAATATACTTTTAAATCAAGGAATTATTTAGACATTTACAAAAGTAATACTTTCGATTAACCATAAAAAAATAAGTTAAATAATATTATAAGCGTATGTATATTTTGTAATTAATTATAATTAGACATTTATAATTAATATCGTGTCGCAGGCTTTATCAATAATTAGAACGTCCTTGTCTGTCAGCCTGCGAATAATGGCGCACTTTCTTTACCCTCCTATTTAAGAAACTGAATAAATAATAAAATTTATTAATTATATGGAATATTCTTAAACTAAATAATTATCATTTTCTCCTACAAGTCAAACCTCAGAATAGTTTATGACAACGGTTCGTACGGCTCGTTGTCATAACTTTAAAACGTTTCGAATAAATAAACGTTTATAAAATACATAAAATAACATTAATTTAATTAAATTTATATCAGTTTTAATTAGAGATTTACATTAATTATAAAACTTTCGGCGTTTTTACTACATATGATTTTACGTTTTAGCCTATATATTTATTACTAAAAAACTTACTTTGACTATAAAATACAAACATAATAATTAATAGAAAATCTGAAGTTTCCATCTCACGAAATTTCATTCGATGCCATTATTCCCTTTCTACATAGATACGAAATTAGAGAAGAACGGAAATGATGCGATGCTGCATCTACATCATTTCCTTTTTTTGCTTTTTAGAAATCAGATTTTTTTCTCTCTCTCTTCGAGACGGATATTTTATCATTTCCCTTTATGTTTATTTTACGTAGCCATAAATAGGAAAGAGACAAATTATTTAATAAATATATGTTATTAGATTTAAAATAAGAAATTATTTTATCGCATCTGTATATCCTGTTCTAACTGCTTGATGATTCCGTAGATTACATCTTTAAAAATATTTTTTAAGTCCGTTTTAATTGCAATTTTTACTATTGAGATGAAAAATACATTTACTAAATTTAATTTAAATAAATATTTCTTTGGATTTACTGTTAAACAATATTAAGTAAACGTTGCTTCTATGGTCTAATTGGTTTTCAGGAATATCAACGTAAAGCGAGTTTATATTTTCTTCGGGGCGTTATCAATTCAGATTACGTTCCTGAAATACAATTTTAATTCTGTGATACCATACCCAAAAAGTTTGGCTTAGTTTGGCCAATGGGATATGGCAATACAACTCAAGAACTATCTACCAAGAGAGGGGTGCCCACCTGGAGCAATGGCGTAGCGAACATAACTGGCGCCCGGGGCACGACACTTTATTTGCCCACCTCCCCTCCAGAAACACATAGTTTGTCTTGGAGACCATTTGGGCGCCCCTCTGCGAGTGGCGCCCGGTGCATGATACATCCCCTTGCACCCCCCTCGCTACGCCACTGACCTGGAGGACTTTCTACGGGAAACTGGTTCCTATACAGGTGTTAGACACGAAGAAACCATAGAAAATTTCATGTTGACAGCCTGCGGTCAGGCACAATTCCGCGACCACAGGCTATCCACAAGTTGCCATGTAAATAGGGACCAGTTTCCGATAGAAATTATTCTCGGGAGGCAATCCCATTGGCAGATCACGGCTTATCCCATTAACACTTTAATCNCACTTTTGAGAATACACATGTGCTAACGCAACTCTCACCAATTTCGCCTACCGGGATAATCGGGAGCAATTGTCCTTATCAAGAAAACGAAGGGTCAGCTTCTTAACCATATTATCTACTAACCATGCCCAAATAGGGACCAGTTTCCGATAGAAATTATTCTCGGGAGGCAATCCCATTGGCAGATCACGGCTTATCCCATTGGCAGATCACGGCTTATCCCATTAATTCTTTAATCCTTTATCCACTTGGGCACTGATAATCTACCACAAAGTGAATACAAGAAATATATAACATCTGAATCCATACAATAATGAAATTTTTACCAACAGAAAAATCGAAGGGTCGTAAAGCGAGCCGTGATATATATAACTATTGCTAAAGTATGTAATGAAATTTAATCGCTTCATATAATAAAATTTTATAAATGTTTAAACATCAAATTCCTGTAGCAATGTACTGTATCACATTTTCAGAAATTAATTAATATTTAATTGCATTAGATATTTACGCCTCTGTTTCAGAGAAATCAGATATGTTAACAGGATTTCATTGTTAACTAAAAATGCAATGATGTTAATTGTATATGTCAATACACATATATAAAAAGCTTGAAGCTAATTAAGACAAAATGAAGCGGAAATTAAAAGTATAAATTTAATATATCGACATATGAAGTTGTTATAAGGAACATAGACATGGCACAAGGGATACGTTTTCCGTGTGTCACTCATTTTTCCGGAAGGTCGATTAAATGTCAATGTCATTTAAAACATTCTATCAATAATTAAATCAAAGTTTTGCATGTTATAAAAATAATATTTTAAATTCTGAACAAGTAAGTTATACGTTGTACTCTTCATACTTACAATTATTTAAAACAATGCCTCAGATTGAATAAAGTCTAGTTTATAAATAGTATATTGGGCGGGACGGATAGCCTAGGCCAAACCTGGCTAACTTTTAGTGGGATGCGATTTAGCGCAAAGTAATTACCCTTCCAGATTATTTCTTTTTGGTAAAGACACTAAAGCATAAATTAAATAGTGTCATTTATTTTTCACCAAAAAAAGAATTTTTAGTCCTTTCCGATGCACGAATCATGTGTATTGCTCCTCTTTTGTTCACTCATCTTGCACTTAACTAAAATTGTTTAGGGCATAAAACAATTTCTCAATTTCTAAAATATTCTCATCCCACTTGCTAGAAATCCACCGATTCTAAATTCACGTGCCTCTTCCTAAAAATCGACGATTTCCGCCTCGTTTCTTTCTTTAAAAATAGACGATCTAAAGCCGGATTGACAAACGTATATTGCAATAAACTCAAAAAATAAAACTGAAATAACTAAAAATAGTACAAATACACTTTTGAGAATACACATGTGCTAACGCAACTCTCACCAATTTCGCCTACCGGGATAATCGGGAGCAATTGTCCTTATCAAGAAAACGAAGGGTCAGCTTCTTAACCATATTATCTACTAACCATGCCCAAATAGGGACCAGTTTCCCAATGAGTTAAAATTGTTCTGATAATTTCGATGCAACTGTTATTGTAAATATTTACATATCAATTCCTTCTAGATTGTTAAATACTGCAGAGAAAATAGTCAGTGCAACAAGTTATTGTTAACTTAGTATGCATAATTTTCTGTATCTGTAAATATTACTTCCATAAAGATAAAGAAACTATTCTAAAAACTTTTGTCCACTTGATTTAAATGGAATAAATATCAAATTCCAACATATCTAACTTTGAAATTCTGTCAACTTACTTGTAATAATAAATTAACCCACAACCCAAAAAATCAATTTCAAAAAATAACTTTTTCTTGAGATACAATGCTCCATGAACTTTTGGCCAACAGTCATTGGCGTAGCGTAGGTGTCAGCCGCCCGGGGCGGAGGAAAATTTCACCCCCCCCCTCCTTATTTAGGTATCTCAATTTAAAAGACTAAAATTCAGTTTCGTCACAGAATAAAAGTAATGAAAAATTTTGTGCTCATTTCAATCGGTCTGAATCATAGGTGCGACAAAAATATGAAATGAAATGGTTTAAATTTTTACAAGATATTATTATTATTTATTGTGAAATTTTGCCGTCCCCCTACGCTACGCTACTGCCAATAGTATGTTTACCCAGGTCAGAGTTGAGTTAGTAGGATTTATTGTTATCGGGACGTTTCCTGTCGCCGATATACAGATAGTCTAGAATTTGACATAAATTCAATGATTTGTTCTCCATTTGGTCCACGCAGTAGTCACCACCGATAGAAACTGAATCGGCTCAGGCACTGAACAAACACGTGGTCGGATCCTTACCTGTTTCGGCAACCATCTTGGCTCATGGGTTAAGAGGACGCCAGTCGGAAATAGTGTTTTTTTCTGAATAATGCAATTTTTTATTTGTCAAATTTAATACAATTGTTAAATTAAACAATAAATTACGATTTATAAAGATATAACAAAATCTCACAAATTCTAATAATAAATATATAATACAGTAGAGCATCGATTATCCGACCCCCTATTAACCGTCACCTCGGTTAACCGACCGCGTTCTAGTCAGCAAATTCAAATGTCCGCTAGTGATGTGGCGCTACAATATTTGGCTATGTCTTGGCTACTTTAATATTATTTTTACGTGTTTTAGCTGGCAACACTGGATCGACCATGAAAGGGAGCCAGTATTTAAACGAGGCTTAATTTTATAATTTTTAACGATATAATAGCGACGATTATTATTATTATTTTTTTTTAAATTGATAGGCTTAACATGGAGGAAAATTCAACGCGAAGTAACTTAATATATTAATATACTAATTACATGGGATATAATAATATACTACACTAATAATGGATTTTTTCATACATTTCGGTTATCCGACTTTTCAATTATCCGACCAACCCGAGTCCCCAATTGAGTCGGATAATCGATGCTCTACTGTAATAATATGCAAATTGTTTTGTAGTGTATACAGCAAAAATGGCAAGTAGGTGATATCTATAATCATCCTAATTGATTTTTTTTTTTTTTTT